AAATTCCGGTCAGTAAAAGTCTACAAATTACGAATTCAAGTGAAAATATTAGAGTAATATCAAAAAAACGAGAGGGAATGCGTGTCAAATGCCACAAACAGAGATGACCGATGAAAAGAATGGAAACAGAAGTAATGCTGTAAGGTTGGCTCAACTGTAAGTATAAAAGTTGACACAAAAAAAGAGGATGAAAGCGGGCTTAAATTTTTGCTGCAAAAGATTATAAGCGCCATTTCAATTTTTTTTTAAAGAAGAAATATTCAATTCCCAAAATCCTAAAATAACCGTCGATAAGACTTAAATCAAATCACCTGTTAAGGACTGCAATCGGAATTCGCGCACTAACAAATTCGTTCACAACACTATACGGCGTAATTTGTTGGGGCAATGTTGCACCGAAATCTGATAATTTTCTTGTCCAAATACTACGTGCATAATATTGCTGCAAGTGATACATGATCAATAATCGATACTGAATGAACAATCTGGTAATTTTGCGCTTGATGTGCTTACGAGAGAAAAGTGAGTGAGTCAAACAAGAACCTTAGACTGAGGCTTATCACAGGGCTTAGACTGAAGTTCACTATAAAGTATAAGCTGAGGCTTGCCGCAGAGCATAGGCTCATATCCGAATGGAAACTCAGATTTTCTTTTTATAAACGCTTTAATCACAAGAATGAAGAATACATTAAGCATCTGGAACACTTGGTATAAAGCTTTAAGTGGATACCTCAAGCGTAGCTAGCATGTTGCGATCACTGAGCTGACGGCAAAGAACCGCGCACTGACAAATTCGTAGGAAAGCGATCATCGCCTCGGGCGACTTCCTTGAGGTTGCCCATCTTCGGAGTCTCTCAAGTGCCTGCAACGAAACAAATTTACGGCTGATGGCAAAATGATCGACAATATAACTCTCGAAATGGGAATCTAACCGGTTGCAGTGATTCAGCAGGTAAATGAAGTAATGCGATAGCGCCAAGCCACAAGTCAGCTGGACTGCTCACTACAATGCGTTCACAAAGCGCACCGATACATTGCTCCAAATTGCTACTGAACTGCGCAATATTCTCATCGAAACACTCTGAACAATCAAATTCATATTTCAATTCAGTTAATCCATCGATTAAACAAAAATTAGATTCGTATTCAGTGAATAAGTGAAATTGTTTGCTACGAATAGTGTTANAAATTCATATTTCAATTCAATTAATCCATCGATTAAACAAAAATTAGATTCGTATTCAGTGAATAAGTGAAATTGTTTTCTATGAATAGTGTTAGAATTGCAATCGACAATCACGGAAATAACAACGTTAAGTAAAAAATTCAACGAATGAAAATCAAAACTAACGCAAACGAGCAAAAAACAATCGCGCACAAAGCTCCATGAGATTCTGATTGTTAACACTCAAGAATCCGAGGAATCCGGTCCAATCAGCCTGTATTCCAGTATCCTTCTTCGCCATCTCACTAAAAATTGACAATCCAAATTTTCTGCGAGCACCAACCAACGAAGTGAATAAAGTCAAAAAAAAATCCAACTCTGCGATAACACTTCGTGCTATACGAGCAACTGCACGCACGGCACCCAATCGATCGTAAATCTGACCATCTGATTTGAAACTGTACACGCCAATCAACGAATCCATACACCACATTATATCAGTTCCGCTAACTGCTGCCGAATGACTGAAAATTACTCAAATTACATCAACCACAAAACATCATTTGCAACAGCATCATCCACAACACATTTTCTCATTCCTACACAATAAATACACATGACAGCTGAAGTTACAGTCCAACGATCTTGTTCACTACAATTTGGCAGCGAACAATGATGGGTTACGAATGTACCTTGCAAGAGAAGATTCGGCTGACTGTTTGTGTTTGCTTGTTGCCGCTGATGCTGACAACGTATCCCCGTTAACCGCCGAATGATAAAGTTCATCCGTAAGACATTGGGTGATCAACTCATTGAACATTTCCACAAACGTTGCTATCTGTAAAGCGTATTCATATACTTTAGTGAATTACAGAATATGTAAAACAAATTAAATACATTCGTTAGACTCGATCCAACTGCACATCTTTCTACTTTACGTTGACGATAATAATGCAGCTGGAATCGAAAAATTAATAGAATAAACGAACAACAACAAGACTGACATTCAATGCCAGTTGCAACTGGGCGTAGTTGGGAGGGCATACGAGAATGAGTGACGAAATGACTCGACGCATTGTATCGTACACGAAGATTAACTGCAATATCATCCGAACGATCATATTCGTTTGAAATCAATGCACAACATATAACAAATAACGACGCATAACAACAGCAACAACAATAATAACATCAATAATA